TATGATATATTCTCTCTTTCTACCTTCAGTGAACATTGGTAGACATCGGCAGTGAACGTCGATGCTTGTTATCCTCCTTTATGATTATGTTCTTGTGGTTCACGAGTGATTTATTTTCCTGGTGGGGCTGCTCCTTTGTTTCTTTATTTTGTTGCATCCCCAATGTTACTTTGCATCTCTTTGGTTCTGTTCATATGCATTCATATGCATAAGCATTTGCATGGCATCTTAGGGCCAAAAATAGGGTTTGTTTTATATTTAAGTATCTTCGATCACGTCGAAACGAAGATTTTTAACCTTCGTATCTCCGGATAGAAGAAATTAAAACAAGGGCAGCTGTTGTACACCAATTTTTGCCCCTAACATTTCTGCATCATACCATATTGTTTCAATCATAACAAAATCACATTAGGGTTTTTGGTTCTTCTCCCTATCTTTAGCCTTGCTCTTTTGAGGAGTTACCAAGCACCTTGACTTGTTTTCTTTTGTGATCATGGATATTTTCTTTGATTTTTTCTCTAATTAATAAAATGCAATGTTGGTTTGTCTTACTTGTTAATGATGTAGGTAAAGGTAATGAGGTTTAGCAAGTTACTTCATGGGTTCATAAGTTTATTTCCATGCCCTAATCAATAGCTTGAGAAATTCAAACCTCACCATTGAAGTTGTTTTGGAATAATTGGTATGGAAGTTGTTTTGGTGGCCATGAGTCCTCATCACCATCCTCAACAATTTCTATTCACAAAGGAAGAATATTGGCACAAAAATATGCTTCAAACTTGGCAAAGTTCCTCAAAGCATTCTCTTGATCTAGAGGCTACGGTTTTGGAATTCAAAGGAGCATATCTTCTCATCTTTTGGTATTTTTGAATGATTATATGGACATCCTTCTCTTCAAAGAGTTACCAACAAATCACTTCAAAAGTTACAAGGAGTTTTCAAGTGGAAGGAACTTGGTGAAGAAGAAAGATTACAAGTCATCCAGATGAATCCCCAATTTTTCATATGTGACTTAAAATGGTCATAACTTGGCCAATTTCTATCACCTTGAGCCCATTAATTTTTCATTATTATCCTAAAGATGTGTGCTTCATGCCTTCTTTTATGTGCAAAGTAAGAAAATGGATGGAAGTTGCCTTAAGAATGCAAATGATTATAGGTCATTTCATGATTTTTGGCCAACTTCAACAAGTCATAACTTGCTCAATTTTTGGAGATTTTAAGTGGTTCAAATTGCAAGATGTCATTCAAGGGTTCTACTTTATTCCATATTCTTTGGTCAAGAGCAAATTCTAAGTGAAAGGCCATGTTTGGATGCAAAAGATTATAGGCCATTTTTAAAGAAGAATTTGAAATATTTCTAAGTATGTAAAGTCAACTTTTTTTCTTCAACTTTGACCCCATGTAACTTTCAGCTCAAGCATCCATTTGATTCCATTCTTTTTCCATTGCAAAACTTGTAAACTCATCTTTCTAAAGAATCAAGAATTATGCCCTAAGACCCCTTGAGGTGAAAATGCCATGGATTTGAATTTGGTAGTTTGAAACAGAATTTTGCACAAAGTCAGAATTTTGAAATCTTTGTTTTGGCTTCTAATCATTAGATTTCATTGCGTTTTTGTTTCTAATCATGTTTAGAAACTTGCCAGAAGTGATTAGCATCATGAAACGCATGATTTGGCTGAGTTTTAATCAAGTTTGAGTCACATTTTCTTCAGATGCAAACCCACACGAACTTTCAGCTCAAGCATCCTTTTGATCCCATTTGCTTTCCTATAAATATAGGGTCATCCCCCATTTAATTTCCCAAGCTTAGATAGCCAGAATCACCCTGCCCAACTTGCTTCACAACCCAGAATTCAGCTACTTCGAATTCTATTCTCAAGCCTTTTTCAATCCAATTTTTCCATCAATTCACCTTCCTTGATCTTCCATGAAGCTAACCATATAATTACATTCAAGAATCGTACCCTATATTGCTCCATAATAGTCCAGTTTCAGAGCTCTGCAACTAAATTTTAATAGGTAGATTCCTTCATCAATTCTTCAAAAGTTTGATATCATTGTGTTGCTCTCATTTCCCTTGTTCTAGTCGCAACACTTACAGTTCACTGGAAACACGTTTTGACCATGAATTTTCAAATCCCTTTGGAAAACTTTCCTTCCAAATTGCTTGAGCTACAACTTATATAAATTTTCCACGAGGGTGTGCTTGTCTTCGTCTTGAAGAGACGAAGCGAATGTCATAGGTCTGAGCTTCTGATTTAATAGTTTAAGAGACCTGCAATTCATGAGGGCTGGAAGTTGAAGATCACCAACATTTCATCTTCTAACCAATGAAGGCGTGCCATTTGTTATTTTCAAATTCTGATTTTATTATTGATTCTGTACATTATTTATTAAAGACCATGATATGCACAACGCGCCAGATCCCTTGGATTTGATTACTAACGCGTTTTGACTCTCATCCAATGATCCACATCTTTTACTTTTATTTTCTTTTTCTGTTTTTTATATTTTAAATGTTTTAAACTTCAAAAAATCATAGAAAATTCATTTTTAGTCCAAAAAATCTAAAAAAATTATTAAAAATATTTTTGATTATTCTCTTTTTGATTTTAATATTTTCATAATTTAATTTTGTGTTTTGGTATTTTTATGAATTTTACACTTATTTGATTTGTTTAAGATGTTTAAAAATACTTTTACACATTTTTAAATTCTGAAAAAATTATGGAATGATCCAATGGTATTGTGACAAATATTGGTGAGCTTATTTTATTTTTGTTTCTAAATTTACTATTTTTTACAATTTTTTTATTTTACCCATTTATTTTATTTCTTAGAAATAGTTTCTGACTTTTAAAAATTCCCAAAAATATTGTAAAATAACTTGGCCTCTTTTCTGATTTTTCTATGGTCTTATTTTTTATTTCTTAATTAATTTGAGTATAATTGATATTTTCCTCATTATTTTCCATTTTTAAACTTTTTTAAACCTTTTAATGTATATATTAATTATATTTTTTTTTTGTGATTATTTTCTGGCTGTCTTGGGTTGATTTTTTGATCATGGCTTTATTAACATCATTGGATCCATGGTGTTGAGTTCAACTCCATAAAAAATTGATGAATGATTTTAATAATAGTTTGTTTAAATATTAATTCAAATGTGGTTTCTCTTTTTACCCTAATTCCTCTTCATCTCATCTCCTTCTCATTGCACTAAATGTTGTTGGAGCATGATCTCTATATCATGTCTAAAAAAAAATGGTGCATAGATTGCTATTGACCGGCCTCAAAATAGGTGTGACTTCTATATAAGTCCACTTACGATTGCTTAACATAGCGCTAAATTTTGTCCTGATTCGAATAAATGATCATTCGTGGCCCAAACTTATGATTGCAAGCCCAAGTATGTTAATTTGATCTCTTTGATCCAATAACCTTGAGATTTATTGTGTGGAGGCTTTGGTTCTACCAATCCTCTAATGGATCTACAACACCTTTGGTCAACGCGGATCACTTAAACATTGTTGATCATTAAATGGTACTTTTGAGAATTCCAAATGGATGATATACTTGACAATAAGCAAATGCAACTTGTTGTGTGGAGGCTTTGGTTCTACCAATCCTCTAATGAGTTCCAAATGCAAGTTTTAAGATGGTCATCCATTAATATAAAAAGCAAATGCAACTTGTTGTGTGGAGGCTTTGGTTCTACCAATCCTCTAATGAGTTCCAAATGCAAGTTTAAAGATGGTCATCCATTAATATAATTATACATTACTGTGATAATGTTATAATCACTGTGGAGATTAATATAATTATAAATATTTTAAAAATAAAATATATGTAGTGATTATAATGATAAAACTCTTTTGTTCGAGTTTTGACTATTGTCTTTGAAAATAACATACTAAATTTTTACTCTTGAATTTCATGTTATTTAAAAAAGAAAAAAATATTTAAAATTATAAAATATTTAAAATTATATTAATCTTCACAATGATTATAACATTATCACAGTAATGTGTATTTTGTCTTTGAAAGATATAGTTAATGATTAAAATAATAAAGTTTTTTAAATATTACATATTTTTATTATATAATTGAATAATTTTAAAAAGTGTTATCATTTTAATCATAACTATATCTTTCATAGACAAAATACAATAACTATGATAATGTTATAATCAATGTGAAGATTAATATAATTATAAATATTTTAAAAATAAAATATATGTAGTGATTATAATGATACAACTCTTTTGTTCGAGTTTTGACTATTGTCTTTGGAAATAACATACTAAGTTTTTACTCTTGAATTTCATGTTATTTAAAAAAGAAAAAAATATTTAAAATTATAAAATTTAACTATTAGATAAATAGAAAATATTAACAATATCTTTCATTGATGAACGACATATAACCATGATAATGTTACAAACAGTATAAAATATATCTTATTCTAAATATTTAAATAATTAAATTAATAAATTTAAAATAAAATATTGGCTTTGATAACAACGATACGAATATTTTTTTTTAAGATTTGACCCTTGTTATTTAAAATAACATATTAAACTCCTAAATTTGACTATCGTGTCCTAAGAAAAAAAATATATTTGAAAATAGAAATATTGTATTTTAATATAAAAAGAAAAAAATAAAAATATTTGAATAATATATATATATATATATATATATATATATATATATATATATATATATATATATATATATATATATATATATATATATATATATATATATATATATATATATATATATATATATATATATATATATATATATATATATATATATATATATATAATTGAACTATGTTTAAAAAATCAAACTATTCATTTAGATCCGTCTCAATTGATATTTGGGTCCAAATACACAAAGTTTCCATATTATTTATAATTCTAAATCTCATCAAAATATGATGATTACATTATTTTATTGAATGAATTTTAAATTGAGAATGTTGATTAAGGCACACAAATACACGTGCCATCAATACATACGGGAACTAGGCCTGAATCGCAATGCCATTTAGGCACACAATCGACATTCTTGACACATTTATTAAGTGTGTCTTCACTCATTCCTCTTGCTTGTGATTCTATTGTCATATCTACACAAAAATATTAAAGTTATTATAAGAATACTATTGTAATTCAAATGTAAAAGAAAATTCATTATAAAAAAATTGAATTCAATCGTTACATCTATACCTGATGCAAAAATCAAAAAAGCCAAAACTAATGCCATGGTTAAAGAAATATTTCTTGTTGTCTCCATAATTTTCTAGAAATGCACTTCGTACAGAATTTTAACTAGTTTATTTTATTTAAGTAATGTTTATGATTATGTTTATAGAGAGCATGAGCCATCCCAAACATTAAATTTTTAATTAAGAAAAAATATTTAATATTATTATAAAATTAAAAGCAAAGTAAGTATCTTTGACTACACTTTAATAAACATAAATAAAAGCAAAAATAATCTAAACTACACAATTTTATATTATTTTAAAATACAGTAAAAATATTTTTTATATATAATTGAATAATATAAAAAAAATGTTATTATTTTAATCATTAACTATATCTTTCACAGACAAAATACACATACCTCTGATAATGTTATAATTAGTGTGAAGATTAATATAATTATAAATATTTTAAAAATAAAATATTTGTAGTGATTATAATGATACAACTCTTTTATGAGAGATTTGACTAATGTCTTTGAAAATAACATATTAATTTTTACACTTGAATTTTATGTTATTAAAAAAAGAAAAAATATTAAAAATTTAATATATACTTTTAAATATTTTTACTTTTTTTAATAACAAAAAATTCAAGTATAAAAATTTAATATGTTATTTTCAAAGACATTGGTCAAATCTCGCACAAAAGAGTTGTATCATTATAATCACTACAAATATTTTTTTTAAAAATATATTTATAATTATATTAATCTTCAGAGTGATCATAACATTATTACAATTATGTGTATTTTGTCTATGAAAGATATAGTTAATGATTAAAATAATAATATTTTTTTATATTATTTAATTGTATATAAAAAAATATTTTGATTGTATTTTAAAATAATATAAATGGTGTAGTTTAGATTATTTTTACTATTATTTATGTTTATTAAAGTGTAGTCAAATATATTTACTTTGCTTTTAATTTTTTAATAAATATAGAATATTTTTGCTTAATTAGAAATTTAATGTTCTGAGAGGCTCATGCTCTATATAAACACAATCATAAACATCACTTAAACAAAATAAATGAATGAAAATCCTATACGAAGTACATTTTTAGAAAATTATGGAGACAACAAGAACAATTTCTTTAACCATGGCATTATTTTTGGCATTTTTTATTTATTTTGGCATCAGGTATAGAACTAACGATTGAATTCAAATATTTTTAATGAATTGTCTTTTACATTTGAATCACAATATTGTTCTTATAACAATTTTAATATTTTTGTGTAGATATGGCAATAGAATCACAAGCAAGAGGAAGAGGAGTGAGTGAGGACACATTTAATGATTGTGTCAAGAATATTGATTGTGTGCGTAAATGGCATTGCGATCTAGGCCTAGTTCCTCTATGTATTAAAGCCACATGTATATGGGTGCCTTAATTAACATTCTCAATTTTAAATTTATTCAAAAAAATAATGTAATCATAATATTTTGATGAGATTTAGAATTATTAATAATATGGAAACTTAGTGTATTTGGACACAAATCTCAATTGAGACGGCTTTAAATGAATAGTTTGATTTTTTAGATATCATTCAATTATATATAAGGGAAACATAAGGGGCTGTTTGGTGAATCTTATTTCTTGTTGTATCAACAAAACATAATTTTAGAAATAGAAAGAGAGGAAGAACATGAAAGGGTGGAAGATAGTGAAGGAGGATTTATCTTGCATGCAATCCAAGCTTAGCTCAACCATTTTTTTGTCCTATATTTGCAGCTTCTTCTTCATCAATCCAAGGTGAGTCCCATAGATTAGAAACTTGGGAGAATTTGGGTTTATAACATGTTGGGTTTAGGGTTAGAGAGATCAAAATTGATGAATGCATGCTAGTTCTTATGATTGAATAACATGTTTCTAACCTCAAATTTGTAATCTCATATGATGGGTATTGGAAATGAAAGGTGGAAAGGGGGTTTGGAGGCCCCATGATCACAAAAGAAATGAATTATTATGAACCCCCTCGAGTGTAGTCCCATATTATGGTAGGTACTCGAACGCCTCTTACCTAACGATCGATTATCCCTTATGACATGAGTATGTGTGTATGAACATGTTTAATTTACATTATGTGATACAATGGATTATTATTTGACATGTCATGTTATGTGAACATTAAGTTTTTCTTATTCATTGCGGGGTGGATGATTTAGATGAATATTCCTATGTGGCTTGATTGTGCTTATGTATGATTGAATAAGAGTACTAACAGGGAAAACCTAGACATAACATCTAATTTAGGCCAATCCTTTGTGCTTCTGTATCTGTGTACGCTTGACACAGAGTACTGACAAGGAAAACCTAGACATAGCCTCCAATTTAGGCCAATCTTGTATGCTCCTGTATGTGTGTATGCCTGAATCGGAGTAGGCCTGGATACTAGGACGTAAATCACTCATGACTTAGACCGTATAGAGTACTGACAGGGAAAACCTGGCCATGGCGTATAATTTAGGCAAATCCTGTGTACTTGTTATGTCATAACACCTTGGCTACCATTGTAATGTGCTTGTATGGTCCTTGTGCGTTGTTCCACCAGCTGTTAATTGCATCGCGTTCTTTGTATGGTGAAGTTATGGCGCCACTGTTGTACACCAATTTTTGCCCCTAACATTTCTGCATCATACCATATTGTTTCAATCATAACAAAATCACATTAGGGTTTTTGGTTCTTCTCCCTATCTTTAGCCTTGCTCTTTTGAGGAGTTACCAAGCACCTTAACTTGTTTTCTTTTGTGATCATGGATATTTTTCTTTGATTTTTTCTATAATTAATAAAATGCAATGTTGGTTTGTCTTACTTGTTAATAATGTAGGTAAAGACAACGAGGTTTAGCAAGTTACTTCATGGGTTCATAAGTTTATTTCCATGCCCTAGTCAATAGCTTGAGAAATTCAAACCTCACCATTGAAGTTGTTTTGGAAGAATTGGTATGGAAGTGGTTTTGGTGGCCATGAGTCCTCATCATCATCCTCAACAATTTCTATTCACAAAGGAAGAATATTGGCACAAAAATTTTGTTCAAACTTGGCAAAGTTCCTCAAAGCATTCTCTTGATCTAGAGGCTAGGGTTTTGGACTTCAAAGGAGAATATCTTGCTCATCTTTTAGTATTTTTGAATTATTCCAAGGACATCCTTCTCTTTAAAGAGTTACCAACAAATCACTTCAAAAGTTACAAGGTGTTTTCAAGTGGAAGGAACTTGGTGAAGAAGAAAGATTACAAGTCATCCAGATGAATCCCCAATTTTTCATATGTGACTTAAAATGGTCATAACTTGGTCAATTTTTATCACCTTGAGCCCATTATTTTATCATGATGATCCTAAGGATGTGTGCTTTATACCTTCTTTTATGTGAAAAGTAAGAAAATAAATGGAAGTTGCCTTAAGAATGCAAAAGATTATAGGTCATTTCATGATTTTTGGCCAACTTCAACAAGTCATAACTTGCTCAATTTTTGGAGATTTTGAGTGGTTCAAATTGCAAAATGTCATTCAATGGATCTACTTCATTCCATCTTATTTGGTCAAGAGCAAATTTAAGTGGAAGTCCATGTTTGGATGCAAAAGATTATAGGCCATTTTTAAAGAAGAATTTGAAATATTTCTATGTATGGAAAGTCAACTCTTTTTCATCAACTTTGACTCCATGTAACTTTCAGCTCAAGCATCCATTTGATTCCATTCTTTTTCCATTGCAAAGCTTGTAACCCCGTCTTTCCAAAGCATCAAGAATTATGCCCTAAGACCCCTTGAGGTTAAAATTCCACGGATTTGAATTTGGTAGTTTGAAATTGAATTTTGCACAAAGTCAGAATTTAGAAATCTTTGTTTTGGATTCTAATCACAAGATTTCCACACGTTTTTGTTTCTAATCATGTTTAGCAACTTGCCAGAAGTGATTAGCATCATGAAATGCACGATTTGACTGAGTTTTGATCAAGTTTGAGTCACACTTTCTTCATGATGCAAACCAACACGAATTCCTCCAAAACGCATCATTTGCTATTCCTTTTGATCCCATTTGCTTCCCTATAAATAGAGGGTCATCCACCATTCAATTTCCCAAGCTTAGATAGACAGAATCACCCTGCCAAACTTGCTTCACAACCCATAATTCAGCTACTTCGAATTCTATTCTAAATCCTTTTTCAATCCAAATTTTCCATCAATTCACCTTCCTTGATCTTCCCTGAAGCTAACCATATAATTACATTCAAGAATCGTGCCCTATATTGCTCCATAGAAGTCCAGTTTTAGAGCTCTGCAACTCAACATCAATAGGTAGATTCCTTCATCAATTCTTAAAAACTCTGATATCACTATGTTGCTCTCATTGCCCTGGTTCTAGTCGCAACACTTACAGTTCACTGGAAACACGTTTTGACCATAAATTTTCAAATCCCTTTTCAAAACTTTCCTTCCAAATTGCTTGAGCTACAGTTTATATAAATTTGGCGCGAGGGTGTGGTTGTCTTCGTCTTGAAGAGACGAAGCGAATGGCATAGGTCTGAGCTTCTGATTTTACAGTTTGAGAGACCTGCAATTCATGATGGTTGGAGGTTGAAGATGACCAACGTGTCATCTTCTAACCAATGAAGGCGTGCAATTTGTTATTTTCAAATTATGATTTTATTATTGATTTTGTACATTATTCATTAAAGACCATGATATGCACAGTGCGCCAGATCCCTTGGATTTGATTACAAACGCGTTTTGACTCTCATCCAATGGTCCACATCTTTTACTTTGATTTTCTTTTTCTTATTTTTATATTTTAAATGTTTTAAACTTCAAAAAATCATAGAAAATTCATTTTTAGTCCAAAAAATCTGAAAAAAAATTATTAAAAATATTTTTGATTATTCTCTTTATGATTTTAATTTTTTCATAAATTTATTTTGTGTTTTGGTATTTTTTATGAATTATACACTTATTTTATTTGTTTAAAATGTTTAAAAATACTTTTACACATTTTTAAATTCTGATAAAATTATGGAATGATCCA